CAGTGAGTTCATTTGTTAAAGTAAGTTCAGCAAGTAATTTTGCCAAATGAACTAGTGTGGGTTAATGCAGCTACTTAAACAATGTGCTAGGAGACAGCCTCAGGTGAATGGAGTACAGAGCATCATGATCCCATGAGAAACTCCTGAGCAAATATGTAGGTTTCACTAACATCTGATATTTATTAGGCAGCACCAGAACACCACGTAGTCACCATTTCTGCTTAACAATTGGCAGATGTTCAAACACAGGCCAAACAAATCCCTTACAAGTTTTAAGTGAGATTTCAGGAGTTACAGATAGATTTTAAGTCGCAATCCTCACAAACCTGTCAAAAGAAAAATGGCAGGATTATCAAAGACAGCTTTGTTTCCTCTTACGCCATACAACAGAATAAAGCTATTTTCCTTAAGCTCCAAGTGAATGATAAATTGTCCAAGGGGTTGCTTAGTTTGGAAAAATTTTTCTCCTTAGCCTCCAAATCACTTACAATCTGCAGGTTTGCCCTCACTAATCTGGTCAGGAATCGAAGGCAGACAAACAGACCTCCCCGATGTTGCTGAAGCAGTCTGTATCACTGGTTTCACAACTGTGCCAGGTCAGCTGTGTTGAGCATCAGTTTGACTATTAGCTGTCACAACTCTCAGGTCTAAATTGCAGCCAAACATACTACCTCTCCTAAAAGCAGTAAGGTTGGAAGCATATCAGCTTTGGTAAAGACTAGACAATTTGATTCAGAAAAGGCATACCAGAACTGAAGCAAAGACCTGCCTGTGTCCCAAAACAACAAAAATGTTGTTTTGAATCAGAGTATCCACATTAAAATAAGTATTTATCACAGAAGTGCCAAGCAACAGCTGACTACAGGGGCCTGCTGTATTGTGCAGATGGAATAAGCCTTTGCCACAAAGAATTTCCACTCTAAATCAGCATTTGTACCTAAATCTCATCTAAGCCTGGCTCCTTTCCCTTTCCCATGACCTCCAAAATCCAGGTATAATATATCAGTATTTTATTCAGGTTACCAAGCTGTGAAAAAAAAGCAACAAAAAAACCAAACCCAACCAACCAAAACCCTGAGGAAAACATCACAGTGATTAATTATGGGAAATAAATTCTGAATTTCTCAGTTAAAAATAAAAATCAGGATTCACAGATATCTGCCACTCTATGCTAAAGATGTGGCCAGGGCACAACTGAGAACTGCCCACAATTAGAACAAACCATGATTTCAGAGCAGCCTATTTTAGCTTTTCTCAGTCTAATCAGTTAAAGCTACCAAAATAGTTCAGAAGTTTCAGTATCTGCTACAAACCTATCAGTAACTCTTTCACGCAAGCAAGCAGATGCCAAGAAAAGCCTAGAGATGCAAAAGAACTTGCAGCAATAATTCTCTAGACCATGTCCACATCCAGGGCATGGGACTCACTTCATTTTTATTTCTGTAATTCTTAACACCAGAGCAGTCTGAAGCCCAGCACTGGCACTTGCTGCTGAAGCTAAGCCCCCCTGCTAACTGGATCACACAACACGTGAGAAACCTTCTGCCCCACAATCACCATTCAGATGACCCAGGCTTACACTTTAATCTAATTATGATTTTAACCATCCACAGGTGCTGCAAGAATGAAGGTGATACTGGGTCTTAAAACCTGGAGAGGGAAATACCCTTTCAGTTCCAGTGATAAAACTTAAAACCACCTATTCAATAAACATGAAGCTGCTTTGCTGACACATGTTCTAAGAAACCAGGGGGACAGGCAACGGAAAAATCTGTCTCTCTCTTGCAGCCAAGTAGGTTTTTAAAAATGAGAAAGAACCAGGCCTTCTGGAAATACAAACTGATTTAGTAGTTCTGTAGGAGGGCTGGTGCCTCGTGACATGCACTGAACAGACCTGTACTGAAGGCTCCAATCCGGAAGCTGAAAACTTGGTTCCTTACCAACATCACAGCAGGACTGAAGAGATTAGTGTACATGAAATGCTTTGAAAAATTAAAATCCTTAGGTAAGTGCTAAGTATTATTACAATCATAACAATACTTAGGACAGAATCATTATTATTCACTTTAAATTACTGTAAAAATATTATTTTATTTATGAATTAAATGCAAAGGGAACCACTGAAAAGCCAAGAAAACAGAAGTCCTCCAGACAAAAAAACAAACCAATGTACAGTACAGAAAAGTGCAAATAACAAAATGAGCTAATTCCGTATCTGATACAAACCAGTATGCCTCAGATTGACCCATGGAAACAACCTCCAAGAAATATGTTCAAGCGCTTTGGGTTCTTCAGTCTGGCCAAATATGAACCCCTAAGTCTAGAAGACAGCAAACAGATATGGTCACATAGACGGAAATGCTTCCTTTAAGTTGGTGAAGAATGCCAGGATGGATGGGGCTTTTAGCAACCTGGCCTAGTGGAAGGTGTCCCTGCCCATGGCAGGCAGGTTGGAAACAGACAATCTTTAAGGTTCCTTCCAACCCAAACCATTCTGTTTCTATGAAGAATAGGGACTCTTCTGATCATGAGCTGTTTTCATTACTTATCATTTGTGTCTTCTCCATTTGAGACTGTGGCAACCTGTTCCTCTGAGAGCCATTCTGTGTGGAAACAGAGCTTGAGTCCCAGACTTCCACCTCTTTAAAACTGATGTTAGCTGTCAATGTCCTGCCACTCTAAAATACTAAAAATAAAAGCTCTAAGTGAGGGATTCAACAGGAAAAGAACTTACTCTCCCAAATGTTCTAGCACAGCAGTTAAGGACAGTGATTTCTTCAGATGCATTAGCAATATAGCCCTGTGAAACCTGTGGCCTCCAGAACACAATGCCTCTCCACTCTGAACCTCTGAATTTTGGACTCTAAGCATGTGGGGGCAATTTTGAAAGTTTCTTAACAATCCAGCCCTCTAATTATAGACATTAAAGCCCACTTTAAAGTGTGTGGTAAAGACAAGGTGCCAAAATGTACCTATCAAAGAGAACATCCAGTTGAAGTCTCCGAAAGAAAAACCTTTCATTGTACATGATGGAAAACATTCACAAACTTACTACAGGTGGTAACCTTATTTCTCCAATAGCATTGTACTGTGTGTTCTGTAGTTGTCAGGAAGTAACTGTACGTTTTTCTTTAAGTGTATACATCATACTTTACCTACTACAGTAACATTTTCCAACCTCAGAGGATTTTGTTCCACTGACTGCACAATGAACAAAAACCACAACAGCTATAAGACAGCCCCTAACCTTTGCAAAAATTTTGGCCCTGAACTCTGTTCATGCTTCTAAAACAGGAAAGTGGTTTTTTGCACGTGACAATAGTTTCTCTGTATCTTTAAATGTAAATTTCTTGTTATCAAGGACAGTCTTTTCAAAATTCATCTGCAGAAAAGCTGAACTTCAAGAAGCTTACATTATCTGAGGAGGTGCTTTGAAGTGTCTATTTCTAATCCTCCCATCTGAATGACAAAGAAGTTATTTGCAATTGTGAATCTTCAAAATGCAGATCTGAACTGATGCCTCTATGTTTTTGTAACTCATTAACACAAACTCTGCAACTCAACCCTTATGTCTTTGCTCCATTCCAAAGTGAAGCACTAGTGCTGTCTCTTAAGAAGATTACTCTTGGTGAGCCAGTGTTTCTACATGTACATTCTGAGACCCAGCAAAAAAATCACATTTTCAAAGACATCTGAGATAACATTTTCTTTATCTGCTATTACAAAGTGACAGCCACAACCCAGGATCCCTTATTCATGTACTGTACAAGTCTGAAAACAGACAGCAATGGGGTTTGCAGAATGTCTCCAAAGCCGAGAAGAAATTTTCTACCAAATTTTACACAAAAGCAGAAACGAGGCTCTGGGCCCTGGATCCCACATGATCCAGCAGATGCTGTTTCCAGCTTCAGCAAGTTTTCATTCAGAAGCAACTGCCTCCATGTTCAATAGTGCCCCATGGATCACATACAAGATCCTGTTAGCCTGTATGAATGAGAGGCCTGATTAAGAATTACAGCAAAAATACAATACACAACTTTTGACTCGGTGAGCTAAAAACCTGCATTATCACCATTTCCACCTGTCATCTCAAAGGGGTGCAAATGTATGGTTCATGATGGTCCTTCATGAGAAGCGTCAAGCAACAGTTGTATCTTCCAATTCCCAAAAACTTGTATCTTTATTGTAACGTTAATGCTCTAATAAAACCTACATGAGAAAACTAATCTGTGCACCTTCCCCATGGCATGTATGAATTTGTAAAGTTAGAAGTCTTTGTTTCAGGACTGGCTTAAAAAGAAAACAAATACACAGTTGCTATTTCACCTCCACATAAGTCAAAGGGGTCTCTTCCACTTCTGCTTTGGTATGTGAAACTGACCGCTGTGGCCCACGGGATGCAGGAGCCCCGTAGCAAGGCCAAATTCCACAGTTCACACCTACTCAAAATGCCAAAACCAAAGGCAGAGGTGACAACGTTTCCCACCATCAGAGCTGCAGTGTGTGGCTTTGCCTCACCGTATGGAGCAACCTCCTAAACCTGCTGTGGGAGCTCAGGGACCGGCGGGAGGAGAAAGGGCCCAGCGCCTTCACCCCGACACCCGTGGCCAGGGCCTGTGCAACACCCACGGCGGTCACCTCCAGGGCCCGCTGCTCCACCCGCCCTGCCCAGGGCAGCTCGAAACTCCTCACGCCTCGCTTTGCACAACACCTTACAGAGCAACAGCCGCTCGCGGGGCAGAGCCTCCCAGTTTCCCACGTCCCTTCCCTGCCCAGACCTACTTCTCCCATCCCTCCCTCCTTCCCTCCTCCCTCAGGTTTCACTTCGCCCGCAGCCGGTCAAGGGCCCGGCCCACCGCCGCCCGCGCTGCCTACCCCGGCCGGGGGTGACGGGGCCGGCGGAGGCCGGGCGGGGAGCGGCGGCCCCGCCGAGGGGCGGGAGAGGCGAGGCCGGTACGGGCCCCGCGGCGGGGGTGGGCGGTTAGCCCCGCCGCACTCACCTCCTGAAGTCAAAGGGCATGTTGGTGGCGAGCGCCGGGCAGGCTGCGGGCCCCGCCGCCCCCGGCCCCGGCTCTCGCCTCGCTGCCGCCGGCTGCAGGGCCAGGAAGTGACGGGCCCCGCCGCCGCGCAGCACCAGCCCATTGGGTGGCTGGAGCCGGCCGTCGCTTCCGCCGCCGGGTTACGGGCAGCAGCGTGAGCGGAGCCCTGCGGGGTGGCAGGGCCGGGATTTGCGGCCGGCCCCCGGGGCACTCCTCCGGCCGCGCCTCCTCGGCAGCACCTCACTCCCACTGCTTTGAAGGGCTCTCTGCATGGCTGCAGTACCTCGCAGCTCTGAGGGCCCTGCCAGCACCCCATGGTGGGCTCCTCACACACCCCGACCCTTGCCAGCCCTCTCAGCCGACCCTCTCTGTGCCCACAGCACACCAAAGGCCCTGCCAGACGCCGTGAGCCTTCTCAGTGCCTGCCCAGGCCCTAGCAGCACCTGCTGCTCCGCAGCCGTCGGGCTGCTGTGCTGTGGGTGTGCCCAGAGGTGACCCAGGCTGGCAGAGCAGGCTCAGCACGGTGCTGCTGGCAGTCTGCAGTCGCTGCCGTGTTAGCGAGGAGCGTTGGAGTCTCACAGCTTCTCCACAGTGCTCCCGAGCTGCCTGCAGACACGGGACTGCCCGCACCTGCACGCAGGAGTGTGTTGGCTCACGCAGGTGCAGTGCTTCAGGTTGTACTGAGCTTCTCTTGCACTCTGAGTATCTCAATAATAACAACTGATGTTTGTGAACGCAGCACAGGCTGTGCTGTCTGGAGATAGTCAAGCTGCAGTGACAGACTAGGGAAAGGTATATGCTTCAAAGTGCCCATAAAGGAAGGAAAGCTGCACCACTGAAAAACACACAACCCTTCCCAGTAGAGAATGAACTCTTTGGTTGCTAGCATGACTCCATCACTTGCTGTGGACTGTCTTTCTGCAGCTTTAGTGGAGGCCAAGGAATTACAACAAGAAAGAGCTCCCCATTCTTTGGGTGAGAAATCACCCCAGTATTGCCATTTTGCCTGAATGCTTTTGTCTGAGTTCATCCCTTCCACGTTTAATGCAACACACATGGCTAATCCTGCACTGCTTCATACAGCACCTGGGCTCCTTCCCTTAACAATGTCACTGGCTAATAGCATCAGTCAGTGGCTTTTTGCTGCAGGTAATGTGACCACTGCTATATTAAGAAGTGCTTTCACTTGCGTATGGTCCACATTACATTACAGTTCAAGAATAAAATACAGCTACCCTTTTTAAGGGTACTGCCTTTTTTTAAGCTACCTGCCTTGTAAGTCTAAAAGCAGGGCAAGAGGGAAATACTGTGTGCAACATACTGCTTTTCTAATCGATTTTGCAGCTTTCTTCCTCTTGCTGTCATAATCTCTGCACTTAGAGACCCACATATTCCCATTTTTCCCTTTCACCCAGAAGCTAGGCCCATACCTGGGTAAAAAATAAATCCAGATTCAAACAAGCAGAGAAAACCTGACAGTGTCAGGGCTGTTAGTCAATGCCATAGTCTTTCAAGGGAAGAGATAATAACTGATGCTGGGACTATTCAAAGCTAAACTGGAGGGTGAGATAACAAGGCACAATCCCTCAGAAGCCCCCAGGGAATAGATAAAAATACCTAATTGATTTTTTTTTTTTTATCTCAGACATCTAAATTATCTAACCACATTGTGCAAGCTTATTCAGCAGATTGCTAATAGATCAGCCACAAAATCCTGCTGCACTTTGCACTGTGCTCCAAAACTGAACAACCCACTGAAATTAATGAGACAATTCTCATCTGTCATGAGGTCAACCAATTACACAGGCATAGCCAGCGGGTACTATCTGTACTGGAAAAAAACCAAAACAAACCAGTGCCTATCAAGTTGGTTACACAACCAAGTGCTCGCCTAGGCTCCTGGCAAGGCCCCAATATCATTAACTATTATTAACTGTCTTGTGCAAAGGCATCAGCTCTCTCAGGAGCCAGGAGAGTGCTGAAGTGGTTTACAAAAGCACTTCAGTTGTATGGTAGACAAATCTTGAGGTGGCCTTGAAGAGTCGTTCCTTTTGCAGGCTCAAGAGCACAACACAGTGAGAGCTCACATTGTGAAGATTTTATTTGCAACTAAAAGGTTAAACTGTGAAGAAAGTAATGGGCTCACAGCAGTGCCAGGACAGCTTTCCAATTGGGTCTAGCTGACTTACATCCTTGCCAAGGAAAGAAGAAGTTAATACCCTGAGATAAGACCCTCGTCACAATATTGTTTAATTACATAAGGCTTCTAGTGAGCCTGAGATAAGAACAGGAATTTGTCCCCAGTCCAGCTGGGTGCGGCTGCTTAGATCATGTTGTGTATTAGAATGGGAACTAAAAGCACAGGTTCATTCGTGGTGATTGTCACATCATTAGAACTGGAATGAGTAAACTGATGCTGACACCCCATTTAAAAGTTAGCTCTTTTTTGTGTGAGCAGTAAACTAACGTTTTCCTGACAACAGTAGGCCTGAAACTATCGTTTCTCTTCAAATTACTCTAGGAGCATTAATTGAGCCAAACTGCGTCTCTGAAATCAGTAAGTAAATATTTTCAGAACCCTTTATCAGTGAAGAAAATGAAGCAGAAGGATTGATTCACCTAAGACTACAGAATAAGATCAGTTTCCACTCTAAAATTAGTAAACAAATCCTTTAGTTTCTAATTCTTCTTGCAAAAAAAAAAAAAAATAATTTTCCTCATTCCGGTTCTCTTTCTTCTAGGTAACTCAGATACTGGATGACTGTATCTGGATTCCTAAGTAATGCCTCACAGCAACAAAACTGGTACCTTCTTCCTATTAAAAAAAAAAAAAAAAGTGGCCAAAAAGTGCTTTATTTGCATTGTCTTAATTCCATAAATTCATTCATTCAGCTGAAATGTATTCTGTCCAGGTTTCCTAGATATTCCTGATTTCCAGCTGATATGCTGTTCTTTCCTTCTAGCTTAATAAAGTTTATATTAATCCCTGATAAATTTTATTATCTCTATTTTGCAATCGCAGAATTTCCTTTTTACACAGAAAAGTGTAACCTTGATCCTTACCTATTCAGTGTGGTTTCGGATAATATCCTGTAACAGTCATGTATGAGTTCCTCTTTTGTTTTGTTTGTGATTCCTTACACATGGCTGAGTTTTATGTTAGCCTCTGGCTCTTGCTGCAGTTCTTGCATTGGGAACATATTGTAAGTGCTGTGACTGGGTCATGAGCAGCATTGTTTGTGAAAGGTAGAGCTGGGTACGTGCAGTCATCGTTGAGGTCAGTTAGTTTTCGTTCATCAATTGGGAATGTGCAGTGACTGTTAAGGAAGGTGCAGTGCTTATTCACTTATGCCCCTGCTGCTGCTGCTGAGGTGTGTTTGCTCTCAGCTGAACTGAAGCTTTTTGTCTGGGACATTGTGCACCACGACATTTTATCCCCTGTTCATGGGATACGCTTGTAGCACTTGTGTCAGGGTGGGTAGGGGACTGAAGTGAGCGCATTGCTTTGCAAGGCGTGTTTACTTGATTATGTGTTGTATTCTGCAGGGTGTGTCGCTGACTGCATGGAGCATTAAACCCAACTGCCATTCAGGAAAAGGAAGAAACATTTTAGAGAATGAAGAAAAAATGTTATAAAGCATTTAAAAATATAAATAACAGCATGTGAGGAAATCTTTCTGAAAGAACAGGATGCGTATGTAGGTGAAGAATTCAAGTACAAGTGCTGGGCTAAGTATAATCACTAGTGAAAGAAAGCTCAGCCCTTCCTCTTAGGATTTTAGAAAGCTAAATGTTGACAGCACTTTCCAAATACCAAGAAATAAAAACAGTGATTTTTAAGTCTTGTTGCAGTGCAGTATATATTTATCTTTATCACATATGTTATTCTGTCCATCCATTATTGTGAGACTGGACTTTAAATGGACAGTAAAATAAATTAGTATCTACTCAACTTACTAAGGTCCTAAAATATTGACTATATGAGCTTTTTCCTTAAGAAGACATAACAACCACCTCTCCCTGCTCAATATACAGAAGAAATAATCTGATAGATAGAACACGGGGCTCGGTACAGATGCCATGTGTGTGTTTGAGTGTGGAGAAAGGGGTCTGTGTGGCCTCTTCCTTGTCCTGTGCCAGTGGACAAGCACATCGCTGGGCAATGCTAGGGGGAATCTACCGTTCAAAGTCCCTAGAAAATTTACCCTGGGTTTAATACTATTTCTTTTTGCTTGTTTGGTTTACGCTTGGGTGCCAGGAACTTACTATGGGAAAATCGTAGTGAACAATATTGTGTTTCATTTCTTTTTTCACTGTGGAAAAGAACCTAACAAAGCAGTTTCAGCTCCTGTCATAGGCTTACCTCATGCTTTCACAGCATCCCTATATTGATTAGTGTAGCTCAGGAGACTGCAAACACATGAAAGGTCATGGCCAAAAGGATATGCAAGTTAACAGTTAACTAGAGCAGAGGACTTTGAACACTAAGACAGTGTGCCAAATCTCAAAGAGATTTGGCATTAGCAGCAAAGAAGAGTTGATTCTCCAGGGGGTAGTGCTCTCCAGTGAGTTAAATGCCTAAGTTCCCTGTACACTGGAGAGGAATAGTTAGGAACTTCAGGAATAGTTAGGAACTTAAGGAATAGTTAGGAACTTAAGGAATATAGTGGCCTTATCTACTATACCAAGTGGTGACATGCCTGCGTCAGCCAGTAAGAAGTACTTAGGAGAAGGGGACCTCTGAATGTCTCACTGTGACACTCATACAGGACCAAAAAGTGTTTGCTTATGGGTTTTAGTAACACATTTGTCATGGACACCTGAATTAGTCTTCCCAGTGAAAGTATGCCTGGAAGATGAGCCACCTCTGTACTTCACTCACCAAGCACTGAAGAGCACTGCCCTGGAAGCCAGTTCTAGACCTTTGAAAAGTCTAGAAATGTCTTTTGCTGTGAGAAACTTTAGGGGAAAATGTGCTTTGCCCAGCTTTCAAAAGCTGAACCATGGTGTGACCAGGAGTGCAAAATTTCTGGGTGATTAGGGCTCCTAGCTGGGAAACAGTGGCAATATTGGGACTGGGATACCGGTGAAGGGGTCAATGACTTAATACCCATAAG